CATGCCATGACTGAGAGAGTCATTCTTTCTCAACAGTATCCTCTATTTCTAACTCATAGGTGCGGGAATTATGCTTAACCTCGCTGTAACGGCCGCAGTGCCTCTTAGCGCGCACCCTCTTCGTAGGCGTTTCGCCGTCCTTACGACTACTACCCTCCCCTCTTAGCAATTAAGTCTAATACCTCGCTAACTATTAAGTTCTCGTTTACCCGTATATACCGCCTTTTACGGCTCTTACGCTTTATAAGCTCTTTAATTACGTATCGTACACGCGCCTGTTCCTTCTGTAGCAACACTATATTATGCGCTATCTACTGCGCGCCTTTACTTAGCTACTATACCTGCTTATTAAGAGAATTTGTAGAGAGACCTAGGCGCCTTTGCATCCTCTATTAAATAAGCTTAGTCTAAGCTTCTAGCTCTTTGGCGTTACGCGGCATCTTTGCCTCCTACGCGACGTCGTCGCGCTGTGGTAGAGTTAGCGTACGCAACCTTATATTAAGCTTTAATAACACTGCATCTAGGTTAAATAGAACTAATCTAGCGCCTCTAAGCCCTACGCGAGCGTTCTCCTTAGTAAATATCTACTCGTAGGTAGCTTCAAAGGCTAGTAGGAAGGTTTCCCTACTAATATAGTAGATGTAGTTGCGCGCTAAGGCTAAGATGCTGTCGCTATAAGAGCGCTTTAGCGGCGTAAAGTAGGCGACGTTAAGGGGCTATAGTAAGTGCGATAAGTGAGATAGTATATAGAGAGCGAAAATCTTATTCTTCTTATAGTAGTCCTAGAACGCAAGCGAGTAATAGCTCTTATAGCTATTAATAATAAGCAGCCTGTACGCTCCTATAGACTTCGTATACGTATTAAAGTGTTTAAGCTAGTTAAGCGCTAGATCATTGCTCGTCTAGCTATTTAGACTAACTTAAATAACCTAGTCGCGTGGTATACCTAGATTAAACTAGGTAGAGATCAGGACCTTACTAGCAAAGATAATAAAGTGTGGGATACGCTTCCCCGTCGCGCCGACAGCTTATACTAGGGTAGTCTATTCGCGATCGCTAGGCTGTAGTTTCTTTGCTTTCCTAGGCTTCTCTAAGCCTATAACTATAAGCTAAGACGTAATCTTGACTATTAAGAAGCCTAATTCATTAAAGTTCTAGTTATCCTTATTAAGGATAACATGTTTTATAAGCGAGCCGCCAGTACAAGCGAGCCGCCACCTAACTAACTTTCTACACCTCTCCTACCTTAACATACAATGGCTCTACGCAGCGCACCTTGATTAGCTTTAAATAAAGCAGATATACAGCTTACTATCTCTTCTATTAATACGCATTAAATTAATAGTGCTTCTACTGCTACAGCTATATATAATGTCCCACGTACGACACTACGTAATCGACGCGCTAGTATACCTACACGACGCGATTGCTAGCCCAACTTAAGGAAGCTTACCTAGAGAGAAGAGGAGGTAATTATTAGCTATATCCTTCACCTAGATCTACGTTGATTTGGGCCTACCTACGTTAATATACGAGATATAGCTAATAAGCTAATAGCTGCGCGCAGCGCTAGCCTAGTTAGCATCTACTAGCCGCGCAACTTTATTAAGCGTATAGATAGCCTTCGGACGTGTTTTAACTAAGCGTACGATAGGCAGAGAGCTCTCTATAAGAATCTAGCCCTTATCTAACACTAGTTTAAGCTAGTAGAAGAGATAAAGGCTAAGCTTAGTATCTGCGATAAGGACACATACAACTTTAATAAAGCTAGCTTTTATAATAGGCAAGATTACAATACAGCTAGTTATAACAGGATTAGAGAGAAGAGGTAGGCTAAAGAGTATTTTGCTAGGTAATCGCGAGTAGGCAACGCTAATTACTGCTATTAGCGCTAGTGGCTAGTTAGTGCTACTATTCCTTATCTTCGCTAGCTAGTACTACCTATTAGCTTAGTATAAGGAGGATAACCTACGCGACTAGGTGATCGCAGTCAGCGACAATAGCTAGACAAATAATAAGTTTAAAGTTAAATAGCTAAAGCACTTTAACGCTAACACGCAGGCTCGTACTATAGGCGCGCGTCGCCTGCTTATTATTAATAGCTATAGGAGCTACTAATCTCCAGTGTTCTAAGAGCTCTATAAGGAGAATAGTTTTTATACGCTCTATATGCCTCCTTACTTATCTTACCTACTCTAGCCACTTGCTTCTCGCCATTAAAGCGCGCGTATAGCTGTAAGGTGGAGAGCCTTATACGTAACTACATTAACTGTATCACTGAGTTAAAGTTTCTGCTAGCGTTTAAGGCTGCGTTTAATTAAGCGTTTACGCTACCTAACATCTGCTTAGCCTTCCGTAGTGTAGGCCTTATTCCTCTACGACTAGAGGCTGTTCTATTAAAGGTAGATATATAGCTACGTATACCTACTCCTCTAGCAGCTGCTCTACTAGAGGCTCCCTAGGTAGCTTAA